AATCAGAATTCAGCATTGGGTCCTTTCATTTCAAAGAAAACAAAGCAGAATTATAAAGAATCCAGAGAAAAACAACAGACAGTCTCAGAGACATGCAGGGGATTTGCCTGTAATGAGAAACTGAAAAGACAAGGACATTTTAATTTGGGTAAAGAGGGGGAAAATGACATTGTATAAATTTATTTAAAATTAATGAAAGTTTCAGAAAATAGCTAGAGCTGGCTTCTGATTATCCTTGGTAATAGAGGTCAGATATGGGCAGGATAATTGAAATCCCCAATAATCTCCAACCCTCATTTTAGCCATTAGCTGCAGCATCCTGCCCTACTGAGGTTTTAACAAATGAGTAAATGCAAGGCCCAGCAGCCAGGGTTTCTGAACTAAGCAGTTCATGGGAAAGGTATGCCGGCAGGTGGCCTGAATTCGAGCTCCTGCTCTCCCTCATCTGCACAACCACAAGTGATGTGCTTAACTTCTGAGACCCCCATCCCTATGCCTGTGATGGTAACATTTAGATATTGTCATAGGTTTGAGCCAGTTGGGGTGTTGGTGAGCTACAGTGCACTGTCTTGAGTGTGGTTATTACAAACTCCAACTTTCCTACTGACAGCTCCTAGCTCCTAAGGGCTTACATCCCATATTCCCTCCATTCAATCTCCCGCTTATGTTCTTGAATGATGTCAAAAGAATAAAACATTTTCTTCCACTCCAGAATCCTCCTCAGTATCCCTATTCCCAGGCTCCTGGAAAGCCTGAACATACTTCATTAATGCATAATTATTTTGATATCTCACATAATCTTTTCAATAGCCCACTGAGGTGGGTCATCATCCAAATGCAGATAGTGAGGCATAGATGGCTCGTTTAAAAACAAAGTAGCTACAGAGGAAAGAGGGAAACCTGTGCCACTGGCCTCTAAGCTGATTTACAAAGTTTAGAAAACTGGATTCTGTGGCTATATGGATTCCTATCCTGGAAAGTGAGTGGCCTTGCCTTATTTCCCCTGGAGTGCCTGCACTCTTCCTCAGCACTCAGTGCAGGACTCACCCCTATGAAGCTGTCCTGGACCCTCTCTTTCCTGTAAGAAGCCAGCTTGCCTGCCTCTGCACCCTATGTTGTAGTTCTTAACATATTATGTTAATAAACTCAATTCAAATAACAGTGATTTAATAGTACAAATTAGTTATAGCGGGTGTCATAAAAAGAATGGAAGAATTCCTCCTAAACCCTTTATTTTTATTAAAGATTTATTTATTTTTATATTATGTATATGAGTGTCTGCCTAAACATATGCATGTATACCATGTGTGTGCCTTGTGCTCTCAGAGGCCAGAAGAAGGCATTGGATCCCCTGAATCTGAAGGTAAAGACAGTTGTTAACCACCATGTGAATGCTGGGAGCTGAACCCAGGTCCTCCAGCCAGCGCTCTTAACCACTGTGCACTGAGCCATCTCTCCAACCACCAATGAACCCTTTGTTTTAACTGAACACATCCCCCAGGGTTTTGATGTAAGGTCAAAGCCTCAACTTTAGGGTTTAGGGCCTCCTATTAGAATTCTGAATCTGAATTCTTGTGTGAGCCATACCTATGAAGATTTCTCAATCTTTTTTTTTTCCCTTGGTTTCTTTAAAGTGGAGTAAGATCTTAAAGACATTTGTGAAGCAATTGGAGTTTTCCAGATTTAATGATGTTTTACAGTGGCTCTCCCACGCCTAAGTTGACAACATCTTTCTTTAGTAACTCACTTTAAATGCCTTGATCTTGTAAAAATGATTGCTTTTTGCACCTATATTTCATGACTCTAAGTAAGTTTAATTAAATCATGTAGCAATAATAACGCAAAGAACCAGCACAAATAATCTGGGAACAAGCACAGACTTTTGGTGAGTACATAGCTCCAGCAGAATACAGGTATCCCAGGGCAGCCTACTGCTAGCAGAGATGGCTCAGCATGTTGTGGACCTTATATCCATCCATCGAAAGAAGCAAGCATGAAGGCCACAGACGAATCAGTTATGTGTGGTCACTTGAGAGTGATCTTGCTTGGTATGGCTTCTGTTTCATGCTTCCGCCCTGGAAGATGAATTCCTTGAAGGCCTAACTTTCATCTCTGTAGTTATTCCCTAAACCTAGCCTAGTGATGGGTGTATTTGGCGCCCTTGGTGAACATGGACTAACCAACTAGCTAACTGACCAAACCAAAACTTAGCTTGGCCATTACATGCGCTCTGATAGAGATGCCACACTGTGAGCCACCGTGTAGAAGTAGGACTGGGGGGTAGGAGAAAGACACAGAGGTACTAAATGAATTTCTAATGTTAGTACAAGATTAAGTGATATATTGCCTTTAAATAGTTAAAAATGTAAAGCAGCTATTAAGTGGATTCTGTATGATATGTAATTAACCTGGGCAGCTCACCAACATAAAATAACAGTGAGGCAATGCTTGATAAAGTTTTTAAAGGATTAGATATGTTCTTACATGGGGAAAAATCTGTACTTACAACCACAGTGTCTGACTACAAAAAGCCTCTCTGATGATTATGTCCAGGGCCATCCCGGTCAAGGAAAAAAAATCTCCCTTACTGATGCATCCTTGCAGCATCAAATTTATTATATGATCCTGTGACAAAGTGAAGCATCTTGAATTGAGCACAGGAGAGAAAGAAAGTCAGAACTGAAGGATATTAAACTTGACAAAGACTTTCTGTGGTAGGTGATTGGTTTGGAAAATGGGGGTAGAGTGTTGGTGAAGGCAGACAGAGCCCGTTTCCTAAAATAAAGCCATCAAACATATTTAGGCTTGTGTTCAACAAATAAATTTCACTTGAACCAAATATACTGAGTAAGCACAGTTGGAAAGTTACAAAATGTTTACATGAACGTCGGAAAAATGGGATGAGAAAAAAATACATATTAAAGTGTGGGGTGTGCACACACATGCGGGCAGAGTAGAAATAATCCTGACAGTAGGTGGGTATGAGCTTCTTAATTTTCCATATTGGAATAAATTTCACTTGAACCAAATATACTGAGTAAGCACAGTTGGAAAGTTACAAAATGTTTACATGAACGTCGGAAAAATGGGATGAGAAAAAAAATACATATTAAAGTGTGGGGTGTGCACACACATGCGGGCAGAGTAGAAATAATCCTGACAGTAGGTGGGTATGAGCTTCTTAATTTTCCATATTGGGAGTCTGCAGGCCAGTTTCAACGCTTAATCCTGAAGGGCCTGTCTGTTCAAGAGGTTGTGAAATAGTCTTCTAGAAAAGGAAGAGTGGAATTAGCATCATACTGAGCACTCTTTGGGTACCAGTCACCACTGTGCTAAGTGTTTAATATATGGTAGCATATTCCTTGACTATAACTTGCCATTGAGTTTTACAAGACTGATTTTATGTACTACTGCAAAAGGGAGAAAAACCTACCAATTTAAATGTATGTGTGCGATACATACTTTCAACATCAGAATGTTTAATAACTTGATTTCAGAGCTCCTAAAATGTGAAAACTATGCATGCTAGAATCAATGAAATATGGTATCTCATTTAATCTTCCTAACAAGGCTGAACTGAATAATAATATGGGTATGAGGAAAGTGACGCTAAAGAAGCAAGTAATTTGCATAAAGTCAAATGTCAGAGCAGATGTTAAGCTGAATGAGGTGGGACCCAAATTGGTCTGTCTCCAAATTCAGTGCTTTTCCAGTCTTATGTCACAGATTGAAACCAGTGTTCTCCCAGAACTCAGAGGTTTTAAAAAATAAATAACAAAACCATAGTATTCTGCTAAGAGCATTTCCTTTTGGACCTGTCTCCCAAAGACTCTTCCTCAGAGGAGGGTCCAGCACCCAGATCTTCCAGGGCTTCCTAAGGGTAGAGGAATTCTGAGTTCCTGCCTTCTCTTCTGTCTAGTGCCTGAACTGCTGATAATCCCTCCTTCCCAGGGAGCCCTACAGAACCTGAGGAAAGACAGGGCCACTTGGGCAGCTCAGGGCCCCTTGGGTGAGCTTTGTTTTCATCTGTTTTCTGGTCCTGGTTCTGTTTGTGAGACGTGCAGCCAGTTTCACACATATTGACATTACCTGGCCCTTTCCACAAATGGAAATAGGTGTGAGGGTCCCTTAGGATTTTTTTTTCCAGGTGGCACCCTCTGAGCTCCTCATAAGATGTGGTATAGAAGTCTTTCTCTCTCTCTCTCTCTCTCTCTCTCTCTCTCTCTCTCTCTCTGGCTGTTGTGCTGATTCTCCTTAGTTCATTTATATTCCTTGTAAAGAGAGTCGTTCAAGATTGATGGCTGTGCTCCATTGCAATAGAACACTTTCACCCCCCTTCCTTTAGGTACCACTCTCCCCTCGGTACAGTCCAGGAGCGTACTTGATCTTTTGCAGCATCTCATCTAAATGTGTAAGCTCCCCCTTTCTTTCTTTCTAGCACATGCTGGTTTATGGGTAATTTGGATTTCTTTAGTTTATATGTTGGCTTTAAGTTGTTTCTACTTTTATCAGTTTTAAAATTCTTTTTGTTAGAATTGTCATTTTTGTTTTGTTTTGAGAAATGGTCTCCTTGTAGGCCCAGCTGGCCTGGAACTTGTTATGTAAACCAGGACGGCCTCAATGTCACAGAGATCCTCCTGCCTCTGCCTCCCAAATTCTGGGATTAAAGGTATGCACCACCACACCTGGCTTTAGAATTAACATTTTGATTTATTTTACTTTTAATTATGCATATTGTGTGTCTCTGTGTAGGTATCTGCATATGAGTACAGATGCCTGAAGAGGCTAGAGTCTTTGGATACCCTGGAGCTGAAGTTACCAGTGGTTGTGACCCACCCAAGATGGGTGCTAAAAATGGAACTCAGGTCCTCTGCAAGAGCCATATGAGCTCTTCACTGCTGAACCATCTCTCCAGCCCCAGAACTGACATTTTGGGAGTTGTTTTATTTTGGTTTGTTTATTTGCTTTTGATAGTCATTTTGTAACATTCGTGAGATTTTTATTCTGTCAGCAATTTATGTGTCAGCAGTGTGATAACACGCTTAGCAAAAGATCATTCCTTGTTTTCGTCCTCTGTCAAACGATGCATCAAAAAATGTTTCCTATAGCTTTAATAAAATCATTGCTATACAAATTGAGCAGGGCAGGTTTGAGAGGTAATAAGAAATCTTCTAGGTGTTCACTGACCAGCCCACCTGGTTGACCCATCATCCCCCACATTTTTCTGTGGTTTGGAAGAATGGCAAGTACTTCACATCTCCTGTCCCACTGTAACCCGCTTGTAGCCTGCAAGCCCCAGTCATGCTTTCCTGGTTTGTGGCTAGGCAAAATAATGCTTAGCTAGATGAGGTAGCTTGCTGAGGGCCACCTTCATTTTCCTGGACTATTGGAAAGCACTTCTGACCCCAAGGAGCCTAATGCTATAACGGAGACATTCTCGTCCACCTTTCCTCAGACACTCCCAGGAAGACTGTGAATCTCATTCTTCTCCAGGAACAGAACTCACACATGTACCTTCCTACTGACCTCTCTTAGATACAAAAATAGTTCTTGAGAATGATTTTTGGGGGACTGCCTGGGCAGTGGAACAGAAGGGGGCAGTGAGACCAGGAACTGAGATCCAGAGTTCAGATACTAAGAACCTGGTGGAAAGCTGGCTACCTAAACTCTTAGAATCAAATCATATACTCAGTGACACTCTAGAAATCAGAGTCAGAGAGGATTTTACTCACTAGGTCAGGCTAATGGGATTAAAAATTTCAGATTAAGTCACTGTTGTGCAATTAAGAGAAAAGAAGATAAATATAAGCACATAAACCTCTGGATTCAAACCGCTTCTGGAACCGGCTTGCTGGTAAGCAAGAGAAATTACTGGCAGAGGTGGGAGTCCAGAGTGAGGGATCCGACACTCGGGAACTCTCAACTGCCGGGCTTCTTTCTCACTCAGGGACCTAGTTCTGGGTGATCTTCATGTGGGGTGAGTTCTTAAACTATCAGGAATGAAGATAAGGATCTTACATCATGGGTTCTTTATGACTCTCGGACATAATAACAGATGGCTTGCAACTAAGCAAAGTACAAGAGTATATGTCATTTCAGTAAAATAAGGATATGGAATTACTAATTTATTCACAAAAGGAGTCAAGGTCTTTGAATAAATCTAAAGATGGCGAGTGAGGAAAGGTGGCCTTGTTGCTTCCAGAGCAAACACCACACCTGTCTTCCACATGAGGAGAACTCTTGGCTCCGTGAAGAGGCTCATTCAGCCCCTTTCTTCCAAAGCCAAGTCACTTAAGATAAATGAACTCACCAGCTCAATTGATTGAGGTAAACCCCAACACGCTAATTTAGTCTTTCTGGAATGCTAATACAGCATTGAAGAATCAGGGAATTAACTGAAACTTTTGTCTTTTTTTCTGAAAAGGAATGGCTCAACTCAAAATTAATTGCTAAGGGAAATGGTTTTACATTATTTCCCCTAAACCCACCTTGGGATTGAAGGGCTGTGGGTAGCAGGAGCCCCAGACACCGAATCCATGTCCTAGGGCACTGTTAGCACACCGTGCAATTCTCTGCAACTCCCAAGTGATTTTTTCTGACATCCATTCCCTGGAAAACAATGGAAAAGTATTTTCCCATGCTTATCTGTGTTTTCCCAAAGCATTTTGGAGAGTAAAAGGTTAGCCCCTTCATAGTCCCTCTATGATTATTCACAATTTTCTAAAAATGATCATGTTGAGCCAAGCGGCCTAAAGATGAATTTTAGGATTAATTTGTCTATTTGTTCATTTGTTCCTTCAGTGTATATTGATCAAGCATGCGCATGTCACACTCTCTACTAAATACAGACAGAAAAGATAACCAAGATTCAGTCCCCATCTTCAAGGAGCTAATGATTTAGGAGGGGAGCAAGTCATGTACACAGATAACTGTAATACAAAGAAGACTACAATAAATGCTTTAAAAAGGTTCAGGTGAACTCCTGTGGGAGGTTCACACGTGGTCAGGAAGAGCAGAGAGCCAACAGAAAGATGGTATCTTTGGACTCCAGGGACTGAATAGTGTAGGATGTCAACAGATGTAATTGGGGAAAGTGTCAGCACACTCCCAGGAAATCGTGTAAGTTATAAACAAGCCATGTTCAAGAAGGCCAAGTGCTCAGCCTGGCCAGAGTTCAGGATGCCCGTAGGCAAGTGGAGAGAGAAGTGGGAAGAACAGATTTTGGAATCTGTTAGCTGAGACTTCACAGTGGAGCATTAGAGAATTGCAGTTTGGTTTCTTGGGAACTGGAGAGCTATTGAAAGTTCTTGAGCAGGAAAGCTGACACAAGCAGGCCTTATTCAAGAGCTGGAATCCAGGTGATGACAGAGGGGAGGCTGAGCTCCAGAAACACTGTTGAAGCATGTGAGGAGCTCAAGCAACAGATTGCATGGGGGTGGGGGAAGGGTGGATGCTCAGGTAACTGGCAACATGATGATGCTCTTAAGAGAACCATCGCGAGCACTTGTGTGCTCATGAGTTTGGGCAGAGGGTGGCTGGATTAGAAATAATCTTTTTAAAAGGCAGATGAGATCTCATTACTCCCCTGCTTAATATCCAAATGGCTTTCCACTGCATTTAGAACAAAATCCAAACTCCTTTCCATGACCTAGCATAAATTTACCCTGAGTGACCAAGCCCCTGCTTTCCTCTGACCGCATCTCGTAACACTCTTAACTAGAATGCTCCAGCTTCAACCATTCTAGCCTTTTCAACCCCTCAAGTGTGCCAAGGTCATTTCCACTTCAGGGCCTTTGCACCTGCTATAGTCTCTGTCCAGAACATTCTACCTCTAGATCCTCACATGGTTGGTCCTGCTCAGTCAGTTCTCCTCTTCAGAGAGGCCCTTCCTAATCATCATTTGTACTGTCCTTCATCCACAGCCACTCAGCTACATCGTTTTCCTTTTTACTCTTCACAGCTCTTATCATGCATCATCTGTCACGTTCTTACGTATTTGTTTGCTTCGTGTCTCCACCAAAACTCAACTCAAAGAATGACTCTTTCTTTGTGGTATCCATGCTATTAAAGGAGAGAAGTTGTGTAAACGTAGCATAATGTTGGTGAGTGGTTTTATTAGTATTTTACATTATTAAGGCCTTAATTAGTTAATTGTTATTAGTATTTTACATTATTAAGGCCTTAATAATGTAAAATACTAATAAAACCACTCACCAACATTATGCTACGTTTTCACAACTTCTGTCCTTTAATACATCTCATCATCCTGTGACTGGAAAAAAATGATCTGCTAGTTTTACAGCTGAGGAAGCTGAAAGTCAGCAGAACATATTAACTCTTTTAAAGAGTGTCAAGTCTGAGATTCTGGTCCCAGAGCCCCCGTGCTTAAGCACTTTGGGACCTTTTTAGTGGGAGGAGACTTGCTCTTCTTTTCTATGTGAATGTGACTTTTGGAAACAAGCGGAAGTGTTGGGACAGAATCCCAGCTCCGCTGGGTTCTATCATTCCATGCCTGTGTGATCTCTCAACCTAGTCATTTACTCAGCAACAGAAAGAACAGAAATGGTGATGCAGTGCTGTCTCCAGGCTGCTCTGCCAACACCTGGCACATAGTGGTGACTTATTTTTTTTATTTTCATTCTTTTTCTTCACAAGAAACAAAACTAATTCTGGGTATGTCCAGGATTTGATTATCTAGTTAGTTGTCTGCTGCACCCTTGCTTTGCTTCAGGATTCCTGTTCTTACATACAAGCGTATGTTATAATTTGTTACCACTTCCATGATGAAGGTAGGAAAGGAGAGTGGTTGGAGGTTACTTTGGGAAAGGAACTGGAAAAATGAAGCCTAGGGTGATAGATTAAAAATACTGCTTCAGGCTGGTGTAGTGGTACATACCTTTAATCCCAGAATTTAGGAGGCAGAGGCAAGAGGATCTCAGTGAGATCAAGGCCTGCCTGATCTACATAATGAATCCCAGGCTAACTGGGGCTACAGGGAGACCCGGCTCAAAAAACAAAAGCAAAGCAAAGCAAAACACTTTTTTTTTTTTTTTTTTTTTTTTTTACTATTTGAAGTCTGTGGCCTTAGGCGAACATCTAGGTTTCAATTTCCTTACCTGTAAAATGAGAAAATATTACTTGTTTTCTATATCACAAATTTAAGTTCAGGATCAAACTATGCCCATGAAAGCCCTTTGGAGAGGATAAAGTCATAACTGCAAAGTGCCACTATCACTGCGTTCTTTGTAATATGTGAGGGTACCCTTTTTAGAATACCTAAAACAATAACTGTGGTCTATTTATAAATTGCCTAATTAAACCCAAGCCTTCCTTTACTCTTTCACTGAAACAATTCTCAACCAATTCCTTTATTCTTTGATCATTATAACTGGTGTCTAACCGAAATAAAGTTGATCCCATCTGGTATGGTAGCTTCCAGTTACATGTAGCCATTTAGATTTTAAAAAATTATGATGAAATGAAGTTCAAAGATCAGTTCTTAGTCACACCAGCTTCATTTTAAATACTCAGATAGCCAAATGTAATCAACGGCTACCATATTGGATAGTACATATAGAAAATATTTCCATATTCACGAAAAGTTCTATTGGACAGCACTGCTGCTGACTTTTGTCTAAAAATTTTATTTACTATTCTTATTTTATGTGTATGAGTATATTGCCTGCATTATGTAAGTGCATTATGAAATGCCCATGGAGGTCAGAAGAGAGTGTCAGATTCCCCTGGAACTGCAGTTAAGGATGGTTGTTAGCTGTCATGTGGGTACTGGGAATCGAACCCAGGTCCTCTGCAAGATCAGCTAGTGCTCTTAATCACTGAGCCATCTCTCGAGCCCCTGTTGCTGATTTTTGTGATTCCATTTTTTTCATGCTTTCTCATGACCCTATAGCCACAATAAAACCCAAGGTAGTTGTTTCTCGGTTAACAAGTAATTCAGTTTACTCCTAAATTGGTTACTTTTTTCTCATTGCTGTGACAAAACACTTAATAAAAGCAATGTAAGGAAAGATAAGTCTTTCAGCTTTGGTTTCAGTGGGGAAGTCATGGCGACAGGAATGTGAC